CGAGAGCAGAAAAGTTAAATAATAACCTTTCTCGTTATAGGTTTAAATGTATATAAAACCATATTTTTGTCTCTATAATTGCCTGAGATAAACATGTTTAATATGTGAGAATATCAATAGTTTCGCCGTTTTCTACTGGAGCTAGCTGTACTATTACAGAGCAATAACATTTTGAATCCTGAACAATATCCTTTTCTAGTTCTCCAATGAACTGGCAGCAGCATTTAAATATCTGGTTTTACATTATCGGATCATCGTTATTTATCATTGGTTCAACGTTTTTTCAACCTTATTTCTCATCAACCCCATCCTACCTTAAAATAGGTGTTATAGCATTTATTATTGGATCAATTTGTTTCTTAGCGGCCTCATTTCAACAGTTGTTGACAAATTTTCGATCCATTTCATCCACAAATGATGCAGAACCACTAGTTGAAACATCCAATGAGAAAATTCAAGATTTAGCTGTGTCAATATGTAGAAATACATTGAGCGTTGTCAATGGTCTTCTCTTTACAATTGGTTCAGTAGCCTTTTGGCCCTCATATGGTCATTGTGGAGCACTTGTTGGCAATTGGTTTTACAGAACAGGAGCAGTTCTGGGTGCGTTAATCTCATTATGGGCGCTCGTTCGATTACAAATAAAATCATCCTTAACGGAAAATCGATTACTTCGATTGCTTGTATTTCTTTCGTTAATAGGATCAGTTTGCTTTTTCATTGGTGGGATCTACTTTTTAATTGGTAAACATGATCGAGAAGGAAGTTCAGTGTGGATTACTGGCTCGATAGCCTTTCTCATTTCATCAGTTTTAACATATTTATTATAATGAAAATATATAGTGCTGTGTGAACCCTGGCTAAGAATTGGAAAACGCGATTAGTACTTGTTTTCAATAAACTCTGTAGATGTTTCGTCTACTTTTCTAACTGTTATACATCATAATACTAATTCTAATGTTAGAGATTTAGCATTTATTTAAATAAAATTGTTCTCAAATTATTTTTATCTATTTATATATTAGAGTAACTCGGCGTCCCGGTTGAAGAAGATGACTCAACAGGAAAAGTTGCTATGGATTTAAAAAGTACTGTAAAAGGTCAAGAAGATGGTGCAAAGCTTCATCGCTTAACAAACGAAAATGTTACGCCAGGAAGCAATCTACTAGGACATCAAGATTCAGCTCAACCTAGGATTAGATTTAGTGGTGATGTTGTTGGAAAGGCATCATCAAAATAACATTCATAAAAGTGTTAAAATTCAACAAGTACGTATTATGGCGAATAAAAAGATACTAATAATCGTTTTTGTTCTTGTTCATTTTTGCTTGGCATGTTTTGTTTGTACTACAATTGACTCCACTGTACTAACTTACCTTAATTGCACCACCATAAAAAAGATATTAGTTCATATTGTTTTTTCATTGTTGCAAACAGTGCAAGCAGCGCTTGATGGGAGCAAAACGTTAAGTCCTGTACGTTTTAATCTCATTTTTAAAAGGACTAAAATTAAGGCTAAGAGTATTTTTTTCCACTATATATGCGTTATCACTTAATTTCTTTAAGAAAAGCTTTAGCCGTGTTTTCTTGCACAAAAGGCGATTTTTTTTATGAAAACTCATCCTATTAATGAGAAAATTTGACTTTTTCATCTTAGCACAGTAGAGTAACGGACCTATCTGATTTTTTCCGTTCGGATGTAAAAGCAGAGTTATTTTTTTTCAAAATAAAATAAATGAGACCTCAAAATATTCAGTTTTGGCCCCATTCGAAAGACTGTCTCATCTGTCCCAAAATGTCGACCTCAAAATAATGATTCTTTGGCAAGAAAAGTAAAAGAAAAGAAAACTCGATCTTAACCGACAAATCGATCTTGATGACAAAGAATTTAAAATATTGTCATTCAATCCGTTTTTCGAGTGCTACAAAACAGCTGTCTTCTCTTCTTGTCTATCGCAAAAATGGACGGGACTAAATTAAAAAAAAAGTGTTTAACCCATTATGTACCGTGATCCATATTTGGGAATATTAAATAAATGATTCTATTTTTTTCAGATGTGTAAATATTTTTATTATGCAGCATATTGTTGAAGAAAGCATGCCTCGCAAAATAATCGACACGATGTTCAAATGACAGAAAATTGCCTAAGAAAATTTGTGGGGATCTAACTTTGAAAGCCGAAAAATTCCATCAAATAATATATTAATGAAATTTTATTTTTAAACCTGATTTCTGAATCAAACATAGCAAAAATTACCACTGGCTTAGTTTTATTGTTATGCAATAAAAAAATTTCATTAATAATATCTTTGTGCACAATCAGCTGTACCCACAAGAAAGTCACACATGTTTTGCAAAACAATCAAAGAAAAACGGACGGCCGTACGGATTCCAATGATGAAAAAAAGAAAGTGGAAGAGAGAAAACATCTACCACGGTTAAAATGTAAAAAAACACAACAAAATGGATTTCTTATAAAAAAATAGTCTAAATTTGCCACATGGCACCCATCAGTGAAATTACTTAACATAATTTAATTTTTTATTCAATGTAACCTTAATTTCATTTATAAAGTCTTTTGTGTTCAGATACATGCCTTCTTTGACACTAAAACAGATAGATGAAAAGTCACAGTAGTTAAATAAACGATATCAAACCGTTAAGAGTTGTTGACGGATAAAATCATCGAGGAGGAAAAGATATTCCGCACAGTAGTAGACTCCATTTTGTTCCTTTTTGAAAATTGGACTACGTTCATACAAAAATATCAACGTTATACTCTTGATCTGTTATTGCAGAAATACTTAAAATGTATCATAATTTTGTATAAATACGTTAGAAACCAAAAAGGTCAAATAAGAGCAACAAGATTTAGTGTCTATTGTTTTAGCATTTATAGTTTAATAGCTAGAAGATAGATAATATAATGATACACCGTATTCCTGAAGGAAAGGTATGAGAACTACCACTTTATGAAATGCTGATAGAATCTGTCGACTATAGAACATACTTTTTCAATCCATGGATACAAGCAACTAAATCTTTTGTCATCTTTTGTGAATCGACCGTTTCAATACATGCTTCTTCTAATAAATGACACCAACTAAAAATATAGATAAAAATGATAATAAATACAAGCGTTCACTAATCATGCACAGACTTCGATTTTCTTTTTCGATTAAAAACATCGAGATTATCATTTTATTTTGATATGGCTCTTTCCGAATTGAGACTAGTTTTTTACACTCACTCTTACTCTCTGCTTCCCGTCTTCTGATGTTTGTTTGGTGTCAACTAACGAGGGAAGATCACCAACTGTCTAACCGCTTTTGAGACGAAATCTAGTGGATTATAGGTTATCGGCTATGCTGATTCCGAATATGACCATGGCAGCTGCCCATAGGTCTTCGGAGATCCGGATTTCGGAAAATCACTTTTTCAGAAATTCTAAAAAATAACCCAAACCTTTCTTAATGAGGTCTGATTGTAGCCTGCACATTTCTGATTTAAATGAGACATCTGCCAGCTCTACATGAGTTTTCTTTGCAAAGTTATAGAATTTACAAGAAAAGCCCTAAGTTAATTTTTTCCTTATTTCTGTCGCTTTGAGCTGACAATGAACATTTATGGCTTTTCTTATAAATTCTATAACTTTGCAAAGAAAACTCATGTAGAGCTGGCAGATGTCTCATTTAAATCAGAAATGTGCAGGCTACAATTAGACCTCATTAAGAAAGGTTTTGGTTATTTTTAGAGTTTCTGAAAAAGTGGTTTTCCGAAACCCGGATCTGCGAAGACCTATGGGCAGCTGCCATGATCATATTCGGAATCAGCATAGTCGATAACCTATAATCCACTAGGTTTCGTCTCAAAAGCGATTAGACAATTGGTGGCCTTCCCTCGTAAGACTTAAAGACAATTAAGACATTTTATCAAAAAAGTGGTCTCAATTCGGAAGCCTCGTTCGATACAGTTACATAGTTATTCTCTTTTTAATCCAGTTATATAAAATCTACTTTCTCGCTTGTATCTTACCGCTGTAATTCATCATTCTTATCTAGTTTTCCACGATGTTCAAGACCACGCGTCCATGCAAATATACTTGCAATTGGATTTGTCGACGTTGATTTGCCCTAAATATTACAAATAAAATGAAGTCTTTAAACAATTGATTGCTATGTTTTATTTGTCTACTTTTTGATGTTCTCGATAATGTCTCGTGACTGTTCCATGAGCTGCTTCTGCTTCAATTGTTTTTCCATCTGGACACACTAACACACTTGACATTAAACCCAATGAACCATAACCTAAATAGAGATGGAAATAGTTCATCAACCATTTGAATTTATTTCAATTATCATCTTACCTTGTGCAACAATATCCGATTGTACATCACCATCATAATTTTTGCAGCCCCATACAAAACCACCCGATGATTTGAGTGCTTGTGCAACCATATCGTCAATAAGTCGATGTTCATACCAAATTTTATTTTGTTCAAATTTTTGTTTGTACACACGTTGATAAATTTCTTCAAAAATATCTTTAAATCGACCATCATACCGTTTTAATATTGTGTTCTTTGTTGACATATACAATGGATAGTTTTTCATCAACGCATATTGAAAACAACTATGAGCAAAACCAGTTATAGACTATAAATAGACAGAGATAAACGTTGTTGTAAATGAATATTGAGAAAAATTGCTTACCTCATCCGTGTTATACATGGCTAATGCTACTCCACCTGTACTGGTAAAATTGTAAACTTCTACTTCTGTTGGTGGCGCTCCATCACTTGGTTGATATTTCAATGTGACACGACCGGGACCTTTGATAACCATATCTTGGCAACGATACTAAAGCGCAGAAGCAAATAAAGTTACTTATTCATGTATTCCTAGTTCAGTCTTCAACAGATAGACATCGGTTGAATCAAATGTATACACAATCATCTGATTCGCTTTATCATTATTCTATCAGGTAGTAGCAGGAATAGCGGATGTAAGTAGTTCAAGAGAATTAAGTAATCAGAATAGTAAAACATGAATCCGTCGTATGTAAATGAGTTTTATCCAACTTCGAATGAAAACAATTCTAATTCTAATCATGAACAAATAATAAATTATTTAAACTGTCACCAACGTCAAAACTGTCAAAATATACTGAATGAATGGTCATCATCAACAACTTTAACATCATTGATAACAAAGTGAAACTCTTATAATAAAAACTCAAAAGATTTTGATAATTTAATCTTTGTCAATGTCTGTCATAAATATCAAACGATAACAATCACAATATATTATTCGCCACCGTTAGAAGTAATATCAGTAGAAATAGTCTTTCAATCAGTTATACAAATATAATAAGAATTTATTTATAATGGATGATCTGAATGCACGTAACCAAATGTGGAACGATATCAAAAGAAATACAAAAGGTAAAGAACTTGCAGAAGGACTCGATGGTCATAAAAGTTTAACAGTCTTTAACAACAACATGGCAATATCACTTATCTATTTGTGTATAGGACCAACGAATATAATATCTAAGCCAAGAATATTTTTACAGTCGCATAGTCGCACCCATATGCAGATGATTTAGTAATGTTGATCGAGATCTCTCTATGATAGCCAAAAAGTCAATTTAAAGCTAAATTTTAAACACAACCACAAACAGCATTGAATCAACTGAATATGTCGAGAAATGGAAACAACCAATAAAATTGAGAAAAACAGAATGACAGTGGATGCACAAACGTATCAGTCTACCAAAAATAACACTGAAACTAGTTGGCAAAATATTAAACAGTGTGAAGATATTCAAATATCTAGGATTTTATGTCAATGCAAAACTTTCCTTCACCAAACATGTTAATAGGATTTGTAAAAAATAAAAAAGAATACCTCGATGCTGGAAAACATCTCAAAATCAAAAACTTCAAGCGTAAAAGCACGAAAATTGACATTCAATGCTTTCATATTGTCTTATTTTCAACAGTTTTATGTGATATAATCGCTTCTATCAAACACAAGTAAGAACAAGATCGAAGCCACAAACAGACAACTTATTTGTTTGATCTATTGCTAGTTTGATTCTTCAGACGATGAGATTCAATAGACAGACAATTTCAGAACAATTAGTGATCAGACAAAATTATTTTCGATGAAGTTCAGCGACAAAACTAGTGAAAGATATCCTGAAATATTTGAAAAGTACGTATAACATAAATCATCAAAACCATATGTCAATATTCACAAAGACAGTTATATCAGGTTTACCCAAAGACAAATCTTCAAAATATGTCACAAAATGGCAAAATTCAGATGGTTTCTATTTTAGATAGACTGTTCGATTTCATTTACACTTAGTCAGATAATTAAATTTTTATACATCATTTGATTTTTGTTGTAGTCAGGGACATAAAACCTAACTACAGAACTAACCCTGCTATTCATGTATGTGTTTAAAACAATATTCTTACTTGATCTCCAAATGCATGACGTCCGATAATAATTGGCTCTTTCCATCCTGGTACTAAATTTGGAATTGTTTTACAAATGATTGGTTCACGAAATACGGTACCACCCTAGAATGATAAGAATCTAATATATTTCTTTTCTTTCGCTTATTCACTCTCGCCAAATCGAACAACCTTGAATAAACAGATACATCGGAAGAGAAAAGCAGGTTTAATGATCCGTGAATTTACCGGTCCATCTAAATCCACATAAGTCATTAAAAATCCAAAGCTTTACGAGGACTTTTATGGACCTACGTAGACTGAAGCAAACTTTTAGCGATTTACATGGAATTTTGTAGTCTGAAAGACTTAAGTTGACTTATAAACTTCAATGAACTTTAGAAATTCATAAAAGTCCATTAGAATTCTTAAAAGTCTTTTTTCCTTGAATATATCTCAGATAATTATTGAGGATAAAGAAATACTTATTTCAATATCCACTTCTTTTGGATCAATTTGTTGTTGAATCGTAATTTAAAGCAAAAAAAGGAACTTACGAGGATATTTCTGATTGTTCCATTGGGTGACAGCCACATTTTTTTCAATGAAAATTCTAGAAATATGTATGATACCACTTTCAAATTTGCAATTAAATATAATCTTTTGTGTACCTTTGACTCTTTCTTCATCAGGTGTAATTGTTGCACATTTGATTCCCACGTTATATCGTTGAATAGCATGTGCTGATTCGATTGTCACTTGATCATCGGTATCATCACGATTTTTTAAACCCAAATCATAATATTTACATTCAACATCAACATAAGGTTCAATCAACTAAAATTAGAAGTAATATTCAAAAGAAATCTAAAATTATTTAAGACATAGATGCTCACCATTTCTTTAATCCATGCCCAAATAATTCGTGTCATTTCATCACCATCCAATTCAACAACTGGATTTGCGACTTTAATACGTTTTTGAATGCCATTATTTGATGACGCTTAAGTAAATAAATGACACAGAAATATAATCAGGAAACAAGCTAATAAATTTCTTTAAATTGCAAGTATCAATAAATTATGAACAAACTTAGCAAATAGAGAGCAATGACTGATAACAGAGATATCAATACTGTCTAGTATACTTTCTCCAATTAATTCGTATGTATTAAAAAAACCTTGTCAGGGTGGTACGTTCGATACCAAAAGGAGAAACTCTCTATACTGATCAAGATAGGTTAATAAAAAGTAGCGAGAACGATGCTTAGAAACGATTTGCTACTATTGTGTTTTATTTCGGAAAACTAAAAATGAAAATTATTCATTTGTGTCTGATCAAAAAAATAATATTTTCTATTTTCACCCCTAGTTTATTTTACAAAGAAGAATTATCTGTTATTGGTTTAAAGAAAAATGAGCAACGACGATACTCATAGTAGGTGCAAGAAGAAAAAAAGAAACTGTAATGAACTTAGGAAAGTAATGACAAAGAGAAAGAAAACAGATAACGATGAGGTAAATTGTGAATCAAAAGTTGAAGAAATGATTTCAGTTGAAGCGAGAAGTGATTCTGATGGATCAACAAATAAAAATGGTGTTAGCAATGACTCAGAGGAAAATACTCAGTATAAAAATCAATGAGAAGCTTAGAGAAAAGTGCGTATATCGTACCTCCTTTGATGTGAACTAGAGGTTGTAGCCGTCCTCTTAGGAGGTTGTGACCGATCGATTAAGAGGTTGAGACCGTTCTCTTGAGCGATTGTGACCGACCAATCAAGAGGTTGTGAACGCCTAAAATACATTCCCCTAATATCATCCGATATCAGACAGGTACTTAAGAGGTGGTGACCGTCTTTTAAGAGTTTGTGACCGCCAATTTAAGAGATTGTGACCGAAAGTGATATCAGATTTTAAATAGGTTCAAAGAAAAACCCATGACAACACCTGTTTTTGAGTATATAACTGAAACTCCGTCTTCTGTGAAGACTTGGAGGAGTTTCACAAAAAGATCAATGGACATTAGCATACTTGCTCATTTACTTTACTTGCTTACTGTTAAAATAAACTTCTAACAGTTATCTAAGAACTAGATGATAACCGCCCTTCGGGAAGATTGAAAAGGCGAACGAGTGAAAAGTTTCTTAAAAACACTTCAGATACCGTTTGTCCTCCATACATAACCAGCAATAATCAATTATTAGTTTCTCTAGTTGACGTATATTTTTTTATACATCAACTAGAGAAACTAGAAAGTCTAATGGTAATAGAGAAAAAAAGAAAACTAAATGGGTATTCGTGACGATTAATTATCGCATATTAAAGCAGAGTCCTTGAAAATATGCTCAGATTTTAGAGTTCATGTAGTATCCGGATTAAAAGGTTTATCGAAAAACTAATTGTACTTAGATTTTCTATTGGTTTTTGTCCTAAATCTCTACGATTAGGAATAGCTGGGAAGGAGTGACTGACACGAGAAACAAAAGCGTGTGGAAAGAAGAAGAATTTTTATGGTGAAACAGAATAACTTGATGGTCGGTTTTTACGGACCAAAAGGACCAATCTGATTGGTCAGTTTAATGGACCCACCAATCAAAGTGATCCACTTGGTCCGTCTGATCCGTAAAAACGACCACTAATAAGTTTTCTTGAGTTTCACTTGGTTGGTTTAACGAGAGGAAAAAATGTGACCTATCTAGTTTGAACGTGATACAGAAATTGCTAAAATGTCGAGATAAGAAACTAGACAGATGACATGCGCAGTATTATAAAATGAAAAAAAGAAAGGAAGAAAAATCATACAGTGCCATGACATGACATACAAATAATGCAGGATGGAATGAAGGAAGAAAATAGCTAAGGACATATGTGTAGACGAATGCAAAAACAACTAAAGGTTCACAAAAGAAAACCGAGCAAATGCTTTTAAAACATAAATGTTTTTTTGCACAAGAACTGGATCTCTGAATGCATAAATTCAATTGAATGCAATATTACCACTTCCAATGAGTCCAGCATTAATGGATCACAAGAAAAAACTCCCAATTTCCTACACTTGATGAGACTCAAAGAAATGGATGTTTTTAATTTTTTATGCTTTCAAAAATATAAAGTTTTTATCATTCTTACTTTGTCTTGTCGCTATGGTATTGGGTGACGATGCTGATGGCCGTAGATTGACAATCGCATACGCATTTTTTAATACAAGACGCTCGTTTGATGATGATGAAATTGTGCGCCCTAATGATCGTAGTAACAAGGACGCCATTGATGCTGAATTAAATATGATGAAGGGTATTCACACTATCTAAAAATGATTTATTGAAGTTAAAGATCATCAAAAAAAATTTCTTACTACTGGACAAATTACAGGGAAGAAGCGGTTCGGTTTGTTTTAGAAAAACATGCACAATAAATAGCTAGTAAAGGAAAAAAAATTTTTGCCATTTTCACTAATTCTTTTATTGCTCAAGGTCGCTTTGATGTGTTATGAAAAAAATCGCTTTTTCTCTTTCTTTTCTTTACTTTTCTTTTACATATCCCTAGCTCGATTGTTTATATTATTTTGCATTTCTTAATCTATCTGTATTCTTCATTCAGTTGAGAATCAGATGTATAGATCTGAGCTGATTCTGAGGTCTTGTCTTTTCAGTCCTTAATCAGAACACACTTAAATATATAATAAAAAGTAGAACTGAAATCACTGTCCAGTTTGTTTCGGTTCTGAAAAATGTACGCGTTTTTTGACTAGAATTGCCTGGATAGCGATTGCAGTCATGAAACAAATTCTTAAACATCCGAGCTGATTCTTAATTCTAATCGTCTCAGTTCTGATTTCTTCAGAGTTCCGTAGTGCGTTATATACTTCAGTTCTCTCAAACTATCAGAATTACAAAAGTTATAAAATTATAGTAATACTTTAGCTTTCGTAATTTAGTTTTCGAGCGTTCTGTATATTCAAATTACGCCCAAGCTGCTTGAAAGGTCCAATCGAGCAGAAAATACTCAATTTAGAAGATCAGCAAGTGTATCGGTCGGACTATGGGCCACAAAATGCAGCTTCAAAAAAAAATGAAAACTTTGAAGAGTAAATCATATGAAATGTCTGCTAATATGATATTGAAGTCGTGCAGCCCCATTATTTTGTCAATTCATTCATTGTTATATTTCTGTAGAGGATAGTGTAATCAGGGTGCGCAAATACAGTTTTTCGTAAAAAATTAGGAGTTGATCAGATTTTTTTTCGAAATCAGGAGAAAAACAGAAGAGTATCAGGCAGTTGTTTCTTGGACAAGCAAAACAAAAAAATCCAATAACTTTTTCAAAGACATAGCTTTTATCAAAAAAAATTTTTTTTGAAATATTTTTTGATGAAACAGTATTATCATTTGTTACAGACTGTAGTACAAATTGAGGAAGAAGATTTTGATCCGATGGGTTCGGAAGTTCACTAATCTCATCGTCTTGTGATGAGAACATTCGATAAGCACACAGCGAACTCTTTCAGTGTACAATTATTTAGACTTTTCATTCAGAAACTTTGTTTCTGAAACTGATAATCTCAGTTTGGAAAAAACAAAATCGATGCAGGAAAACAATTGAAAATCAGGAGCCACCTGGTCAAATCAGGAGAATTAGGCGCTCTGAGTGTAATACATTATTCATCTTAAAGAAAAATCATCTGTGTTCAGAACCAGGGCTGAATTCTCAATAGTTAATTACATTCTTGGCTGAAAAATACTGATTTGATATAAGCTTTATTCTGTCAGAATGCAAGCAGAAAAATATTCCATTATAGTATTCTAAACTAAAACTATCGAAGAAATACTGATTTCGGAATCAGCTCAGGCCTATACATCTGAATGTTGGTTGACTAGTGTGATATTAGAGCCGTAGTAAAAAAATAAGCAATGTTATGTCTGACGTATGCGATGCATCAACAAACGATCAAGATACGCTAAAAGAGAAAACTCTAATCTAAGAGAACTAAAACAAAAAGAACTTAACGAAAGGAGGATGGAACATACGGAGTTTGAGGCACTTCAACCATGCAACTTCGATGTTTTTAAGAATTGAACAGAATCAATGAAAATAGACAGTCAGTTTCGTAAAAAAGGAACAAACTTGCCGTGAATAAACATCAGTGAATATTGACCAAGTACAGAACAAAAGCTGTTAATTAGGGATGAAATAACTATCTCAACGTTTTGTATTTTCCCTTGACTTTAGTCTAGGGTAGGTATTACAAAATAGCTGTCTGTGCGCAAAATACGTAAAAATGGCTATTAGATATTCCATAGATAAGTGAATCACAACCACAACCACAAGAAAGAAAAATAGAAAATTCTTTTTTACACGAGATAGAAAACAAGGTAACGCTCCTCTCCATTCGCTCAGTCCCTTGACTTTAATAACCTGGATCTGCGCTACTGAACGCTTCTCGCTTATGATTGGCTTATCCATAGAATATCTGACAGCTATTTTTCCGTATTTTGCGAACAGACAGCACAAGTCAACAATCTTGAGATCATTTCTGACAGAATCTTGATTTCAGGTCAATCTTATCAGATTCTGACGCTGTACAATCAATAATAAGATTCAGATTGGAATGACCTGATCTGAAAAGTTTTTCAAGATTCATGGTCACTGATTCTTAGTAAGAAATCAAGATCAGTCCATTCTGGTCTGAATCAGGAGATTGTTTGAAAAACACTGATATCTCAGTAACGGCTTCTGGCTAGAGAACTCTGAAT